GTGGCTGTTGCTCCTCTGTAGAAATGAAAATGCTACTTGTTTATGTCACAAATTGTCCTTTGAAATGTGTGTTTCCAGAGGAGCTCAGCAGCCTTAGCATCTGTGGATCTACACCTACATCTACCAAGCGAAAAACCTGACCTTCACCCATCCTCCGTGGAGCTGGAAAACCATACAGTTAGCATCAAAATTGTAATGACTTTTTTGGGGTGGGCTGCAGTCCTCTGTGAATATAAAACTAAGTAAAACAATATGTTCTTCGTTCTCTGTTAATCATTGAAGGAAAACAGGAAAATGGCACAAAGACTAGTAACACGGGGCCTGGTCTTCAGGCCTTCAGGCAAAAGTCCCACTGAAATAAGGTCAATGAAATAACTTATCTGGCTTACTGCTCTTCTATCCTATTCCTTCCAGAAATCAAGCCGCAGTGCCTGTAAATCTGTGGTGTAATATCTGGAAAATATTAATGACAACATTTAGAAGAACCCCAGGTAAATTTTATACTTTAAAGACAGGCCACAGGGGAGCTCTTCAACAACTTATCTGGCTTACTGCTCTTCTATCCTCCTTCCAGAAATCAAGCCGCAGTGCCCGTAAATCTGTGGTGTAATATCTGGAAAATATTAACAACATTTAAATCAAGCCGCAGTGCCTGTAAATCTGTGGTGTAATATCTGGAAAATATTAATGACAACATTTAGAAGAACCCCAGGTAAATTTTATACTTTAAAGACAGGCCACAGGGGAGCTCTTCTGTCTGAAGTCAGAAAGGCTCTCAAAGCATTATTTGTCAAAAGGAAGAAAACACTTCTATCTGAAATACCAGTTCCGCCACATAAAAAAGCATAGTGGAAGTACTGAAAAATCTTAGTGTAACAGTGTTCTTTAAAACTCTGCATGTGACAACAATTAAAACGTTCTTCTTTCAGAATACATCTGTTCAACTGAATGTACTGCTGGGGTTTTTTTCAGTAAATACTTCCAGAAAGAGATTATTAGAGCATTTCAATAAACAAACCTAAGCTTTGACCACTTGTTACAATCCATGTTTTTATGCTTTTGAGCATCTTAGTTGGATTATATAGATAATTTCTTATGTTTGCTTGTCTCTAGAAAAATCATCCTACTCTTTCTTAAACAGAGGACGAGGGCACCTTCACTGAGGCCTCCCTCAATGCTAATTTACAGATCAGCTGTCTGTACTACAGATGCCCTAGGAAATGAGTGTCTGTATCGAGCTTAAAGCATTGGTTTTGACCTAGTAAACCCTAAACAGACTGATTCCTCCTCACCTGAGAAGCCACTGCTGTCTCTGTCTCAACTGCATGCTGACCATTTCAGTTGAGAACCCACCTGCACTGCAATTTTTTTTCTCTCAATGGTGTGAAATATCTCAGGTTTATTGTCTTGTAACACACACTTCTTTAGTGGGCTTCTGGCAAGCACTGAAGCACACAATATCAAGGTCTGGGATTTCTAGAGGACCACATACTCTATTTTTAATATACAAATTTTAGAATTTGATTGGTTATACAAGAAAGGAAGAGAAGTGTACCGCTGGGGTTTTGCAAGTAATTCTCTACAGAAAAGCAGAAGGGAGGGAATATTGCTGTCACTTAGACCAGAAGAAAAATCATCTTATAGTTAAACCCACACAAATAAATGATGAATGAGAACAACAGTTAGACACAGTATACACAAGTTACCAGGCTGAATGTATGGAAGATAGGAGGTGTTATTCCACCTGTCTCTGCATAACATTGACCAAACTGTTAGCATCAAGAAGGTAAATGCAAAAAGATAATTCTTCAGGTATTGCCAGATTGTTTCATGCAGGCCTACTGAAGTTGCAAACCCAAGGAAGATTTGCAAGCCCACGTGAAATGCCCATGTGGAATCAATGGAAGCCTTCATGAAAAACTCTAAATAAGAGTATCAGTCATTTCAGATTATTGCTTTTCCTTAAGATGCACCATTTTCTTTGTGCCATGTGCATCAGAAAGTTCAGTAGTGTGGACTGGTAACTAAGGTAGGCATTAATGAAAAAGATCATGAAAAATAATATTTTGGGGAGTAAATATTCTATTTTGAAAGTTGACACTACCAGTTTTCACAGTGAGAACTGAGCCTAGGAATGAGAAACAATGTGCGTAGTTTTAATATTTTATATGGAAATGCATCACGACTTTGTCAAAATGACAAAATTACATTTTGTTAACAGTTTTGTGTATTGCACAGGGCAGTTGGAATTTTATGTAGAATTTTACTGGATATAAAAACCAGCATAGGTGGATTGTTCACAGTCCACACTGCTGGGGTAGAGACCTATGATTCCTTGGCAATCTGTTTCTTGGGAACAGCTACTGAATTTGAATTGTTCCATCATTTTAAATTGATGGGTTATGAAAGATTTTCAAAATACACTGACTTCTTTATATGAAACAGATGCAGTTTAGATTCAAATGTTGTGTAAAAAAAAGAACCCAAGCTATAGCAAATGCAATTGTATCTGACAGACAAGCATGTGATCCTTTTATTCAGTTGTATAGCAAAGAAACACAATTTGCATGTCAGTGGGACCAAATGAAGCCACCAAATCCAAAACAATTACGGTACTCCAGCAAGATTTTAAATTATTAAAATAGGGAAGTTGGAGGAAACTGCAATTAATTTAAGTATACCAAAATGCTTTCTATGGGGATTTTAATAGCGTCTAAGATGCCATGATAATGTAAGAAATCACGTGACAGGCTAATGAATACATAATGCATTTTTCATTTTTAAAAAGTTTTGATATTAGAAGTTGTAAAACACCATCACTCTTCCCTTTGCAATCTTGGTTTGGACTCTCCCCCATGAAATGGCACATCAAAGATGGCTGGAAATATTCAACCAAAAAAGGAACGTGGTTTTTGTAAGAAATGCTTTGGGTTTTTTGACCAGCTCTAGTCAACATTAATTGCAGATGCAACATTTTCAAAACTGTTTCCGTAAAAGAGAGGCTATTCACCAGCACTGTGATAGACAATTATATTTTGTTTTCAATAAAGCAAATGTAAATGCTGGAAAGAAAGCACAGTTACAACACTTCAAGAAATTGGGTATACATGTAATATAAGGACAGAGAATTACACACTGTCCACCATAAAAATTCATAGAATAACTTAGATTGGAAAAAGCCCCCAGAGGCCCAACCAGCCCTCCGCTCAAAACAGGTCCAATTATATCAGGCTGCCTGGGGACTTGTTCAGCTGAGTTTCAAATACCTCGAAGGGCAGAGATCCCTCAACCACGTTACTTCAAGCATTCATGGCCCTGTGGATAGGACAATAGATTAACATTTGAATTGAGTTCCAGTGGTCTTAAACTCCTTGTAAAAGTCTCTTATGTGACCTTAGATGATTCAGTTTCTCCATTTGTAAAACGAGAATTATTATTCAAATCTCCTGCATAACGTTCTTTGAGATGCGGCTTATACTATTGCATTATAAACACTGTCTAAGCAACAATATATTCAAAGATGCTATCACTGCAAAGTAAATATTTTTAAGTCTTTGGCTTCCACCATGAGAGGAATGAAGCTAAAGAAATAAGGAGAAGCTGCATTTTTCATAAACCAGCAGAATACTTTGAACAGTTACAGTGGCCTCAACTGATAGAGGCCTCAACTATTGGCACCTTCAACTCTTCGCTTTGTTACTGCTGATATTGGTGACTTTTACTACTCAGGGTGCATAGTTCTCACCCAATACTGGCATCGTTTTACTCAGTGTTTAATGAATAGAGTGTGTTCATTTTGGTTACCTTATTCTCAGATTTTATATTCAAAATTATCCATTTTTTCCTTCCACATTAGTCTGTAGGTATTGTCTTTCTGCCCAGAATGCCAAATCTTTGGACATGGTTCTCATAAGAAGTAGTATGTGCAAGGACTCCATTTCCTGTTTGTATGATGAACAGCCTGTGCTTCAAAATTCACAAGGTAATTCATGCTGTTGAGAAAAAAGACATTTTCTTTACGATGCTTATGATAATTTAAATTCTGATCTGATAAAGAGATTCATACAGAAAACATCCATATGGAGTATGAGCTGTATTCTTCCTCCCATCAACACTACTTAGACTCTGCAGGCGAAAATCCCAAAGTAGAGAGATCTCAGTTTCAGCAACTTTTGCTTCTGCAGGGATTTTGTTTAAAGATATTTCCTTGAATTTCTTTATGTCCCATCCTGGATCCTTTTTTCCAGATACATTTGAATCACTGTGAATTTGCAACATCATGACCCAGGAGTTAGACGTTATAGTGTCAAACAGGAGTAAATTGAGTTTAGTTCACCTGGCACAAGTGCATCTCATTTCAAAGGATAGCACCCAACTGAGCTCTCATGGGACGTGTAGCTCTCCACTTACATAGTTTCAAATTGTGACCTCTGAAATCATAGAGCTTTTAGGTCAAGAATGCCACAATATTTGAAGTCATGTAGATGCTACCCTTTTATGTTGCCATCACTGCATATGGCTTTCTCGCATACCATATCCGCATTTGGGCTGTGGCCGCTTCGGAAATGATGCTCAAATGTCTGAAATGGGGTATTTTTCCAAGATGAAGCAGAAAGATGATACAGTGTTTAAAAACTCACAAGAGTGGGAGTGTAGGACTGCTCCATTGCCGTCTCTTCCTTGGCGACCTTGAACAAACCCAGCATGGGTTCAGTTTCTGACCTTTGACGTGCAGATGATAAACCATCCTTACCTCAGCGCCACGAGGCTTAGCGCGGGGTCTGAAAATGCTTCGACAGCCTTTCATTCGTAAAGACTGTGAAACAGCACAGTATTTACACGGGTTGCATTTGCATGATTTATTATCACTGTACCCTGCACAGGCAGACTTGGACGCCGCGTCGAGATACTATTTTGGGATCCTGCGCGCACTGACATCTGTTCGGTAGTAACAGAAATGAAGTGATGACACAGTGATGGCTATCGCTGCCTCTGTGCTCAGCCCAGAGGCCGGCACGCCTACCCCCCGCGGTGGGGCCCGTAACCCGCTGTGACAGGACGCGGTGCCCAGGTGCGTTTCACCTGCGGGAAAACACCACCCACCGCCTCCTCCGGGAGCGGAGCCCTCGAGGGGAAAACGGTAAAATTAACGACAGGGAAGCCGGGAAGCGGAGCGGGGCTGGGCGCTGCGGGCTGGCAGGAGAACGCACCTAGGCCCGGCGGGGCTTTCCTGGCCCGCACTGCGAGGTACTTTCCGCCCGGCCCAGGGCACGGTTAACCTTTGCGTTACTCCCACTTCGCCCGAAGGGGTGGAAACTCTGCGGGCTGGCAGGAGAACGCACCTAGGCCCGGCGGGGCCTTCCTGGCCCGCACTGCGAGGTACTTTCCGCCCGGCCCAGGGCACGGTTAACCTTTGCGTTACTCCCACTTCGCCCGAAGGGGTGGAAACTCCGAGCAGAAATTACTCGGGGAGGGCGATAGGAGCGATAAAAGGAGGGGAGGTATTTTTAGGTAACGTGAAGTAATC